CACCCTCTGTCCAGAGTCTGCTCCTGGGCACACTGCAGCCTACAGTTTCCTCCTGCCATCAGCTGCCTCCTGCCTCTCAGGGACAGCTCATTAGTACAGGACCACTGAGAAGACCCCGGCTTTTCCTTCACTACAATGGAGCTAAAAGAAAACGTCACAGAGAGCTTTCCGTACTTAATAGGAATCTGCAATGGGGTATTTGGCCATTTTTTAAAAAACTTTTTATTTTGGAAGTTCTCAAACAGATGCAAATAGACAGAACTGTATAAAGAGCCCATGCGCCCACCGCCCCTCCTTTGGCAGCTGCCGAACCCAGCTGACATTGGGTCCCTGCCCCCATCCACTAGCCTGGAATACTTTGAAACAAGTGCCAGGCACCAGTTCCTTTCATCTACCAGAATCTCAGTATGAATGAAGACAAGGACTTCCGAAACTCGTGATGGCGACGCCCTTACCACAGCTAACCAAAACGTGAACACGGCTGTCATTCTGACAAGCACGCACTCAGTCTTCACATACTGCCCTCCGTCATGGACATGTAAGAAGTAGGACAGTTGGCTGGGCTGAGATCTGTGCAGTCTGGCTGAGCTTAGGCTCCATGAGTGTGCTCGCCCCACAGGCAGCCCACCCCCAGACTTGGGGGACCCACCCCCAAAGGCCGCTCTCCCCACAGTCACACTCCCAGCCCAGGCGCCATAGGGAGGCCTCCTGCTCGTGTCCTTGTCCTTGGCTGGGCACTTTCTCCACTCTGACTCAGCACTTTCCACACCCAGGTCCACATAAAGGCAGGAGAACCTCCTGGACTCCTCGCAGTGAGATGATCCCTGCCCTGACTGTGTGTCATCTGACTCTCTCCTGGTGCGTCCTTACCTTCCGTCCGCCTCCTGCCTGCGCTGTCACACTGGTGAGTAAAGGATGCTTGTGACGTCCAGTTTGGCTCAGCACCCTAACTGGCCACCTGGACACCAGCAGCTCAACGGGGTCCAGACAGAGTCCATGCCCTCCAGGGGCTGAGGTGTCATCAGGTCATGAAGGGACAGGTTTCTCCTTCTCTTCACCTCCCCTCTCCACCCTTATTTTGGGTGCCTTGCCTGTAGCGTGGCCCCCAGGCAAAGCTCGGGGCTCGAAGCTCACGTCCTGCATTGTCACTCTCCATTGTCACAGCTCCCTATCCTGGGCAGCAGCTCTAGGTGCAGGATCAGGTTCAGGTGTGGTTTTTGCTTTGGCAGGACTGCTCCATGAGTGGCTGAGTTTGGTTTTCTTTTTTAAGTATAATTACGCATTCATGGATTTCAACATTTTTGTGTTCCACTTCATGAACATTATTCTCGTGTTGATATTCACATCGCCCCACCTTTGGGCAGTGGGAGGGAACTTTGACCAACATCCTCCTTCTCTCGTATGAAGAGCGACTGTAGGCTCCTCATGTCCATTCCCTGACCCGGATCTGCTGGTCCACTTCTCTCAGGAGCCCCCACCGTCCCCGGAGATGGTATCCAGAGGCCGCAGTCTGGATGTAGGGGTGCTTGTTTTTAGGTCTTGTCGGGGGACAGAAGTAGCACGTTTTCTTTGCATGGTAAGACGGTCCGACACGCTGATACCTTTCCATCACTCCCAATCTACCTGGTTTTTACTTAACCTCATGACCATACAGCTGTGTGTTCTTCACCCTACACCAGAAATGTCAGCAGTGCCCAACATAACTGTTCTTTTGTTTTACCCCCTAACATACACAATAACCCCCAAATAACAACACCAGCACTGCCATCGACAGTGTGGTTACCGAAAAGTTTAAGGTGCTTGTATGTGCTTTTGAAGCCCTTGGGTTATATATCGGGGATGCCAAAAAAATGTATACAAGTGGACACTTTGGTCAACG